TAGGCCCGAAACGTCAGCCTTCCTGCTCCTCTGATGCTGCTTGGCCTGCTGTGTTCATCCAGCTCTACACCTTGTTATCTCTGAAGAAGGGTCTAGGCCCGAAACGTCAGCCTTCCTGCTCCTCTGATGCTGCTTGGCCTGCTGTGTTCATCCAGCTCTACACCTTGTTGTCTCAGATTCTCCAGCATCTGCAGTTCCTACTATCCCTGATGCCATTAGCTTTACTGCCTGAACTGCCTGAGAGAGTGGTAGAGGCACATTTAATTACAGCTTTGAAAAACAAATTAGATAATCATCTGAAGAGAAAATAAACATGCCGGACTAGGCAGAAAAGATAGGGCAGTGGAAATTTCTGAGTTACTGTTGATATGAGCCAACATAGACATGACAGGTTGAACGGTCACCTTTGAGGCTGTAAGCATTTTTTGACGCTATGGTGGGATTTGATTGTTGGATTATTAGTTCAAGACTTTGGATTGCTAATTCAATAACATAACCAATAATAACTGCACCCATTCATGTGCATTTCATCAAAGGATCAGCAAACAGAATCAGGAGTGTAAACTACTGCATTCTGCCACCTCTTGGATGAGACCAATTGTTATGCAAATTGCTAAAAGTAGTGATCATAAGGTCATAAAGGAAGCAAAATATGAGAACGCACTTCTGCAGTTATAGAACTGAAAAGCAGAGAAGGTGTATTAAACTTGTATCAAACAATAGTTAGGCCAGACTTGGAAAATTGTGAACAATTCCTGTCTCCATATTCCATTTTATAAAAGGGATATGCAGGCCCTGGAGAAAGTGTAAAAAGTATTTAAAATGCTTTCAAATTTAAAATAAAGTACCGGTACCAGAACTGAGAGGTATATTCCATGTTGTACCCCTCAGGAAAGTTGAACTAACTGAAGCTGTTTTCTCTAGGAAAGAGAAGGCTGGGGGGAGAGCTGATTGAGTTCTTTAAAATTATGAAAAGACTTCACGGGGTAGACACATAGAGCTGTTAAACATATGTAGGAATTCAGAACTAAGGGTCATAAATTGTAGATAGTTGCGCAGAGTCATTAGAGTGTGGAACTCACTACCACTGGGCGCTTGAGGTTTGTAAAGCAGAAGACAAACACATGAGGAAGGTAAGAATTGAAGAATCTGAAGGTGAGATGAAGAAGAATGGGAGGAAGTCAGTGTGATGAATAGAGGGTGACACAGATCATTTGAGCCAAATAATTTGTGTTACGCTGTAAGTACAGTGCAGTTCTATGACTTACCAAGTCAGATCACTCTGACGATCAACCTTGGACCTTCCTCATTTATGATTCTCCGGCTAATGTGCAATAAAAAGCCATTTACATTGCTTGTAGATGTGATTACTATGTTGTCCTTATGCCTGTTGCAACATAATGGGTATAATTTTCTCGTTAATATTTATCTCCATGAAATCAGCTTGTAAATTTTTTTTTGAAGTGTGCGTGACAGCCAATCCAAACAAGTTATGCAATATGCACTTTCGAGACAACAAGGTGCAGAGCTGGATGAACACAGCAGGCCAAGCAGCATCAGAGGAGCAGAAAG